GAAGTATAGTGATAATGTTATCTCAATATCACTAATCCGATTAAATAAATATCCAGATTTTATTTTTTAACCTCTACCTCTGCTTGTATGTTTTGAATGTTTTGAATACTTTGAATAAGAAGTTCCCAAGATTCTTTATAACATGCTTGTGCTTCTATTTCTTGCATATTTTGTATATTTTGTTCATGTAAACGGTCATATTCAGTTGCTAAAAAAGTATAAAATTATATTTTAATATGTATTATTTTTTATATACGTACATATATAAATTCTATGCATCTACATGGTTTTTCTCAAAAACAGCTTTTAAATTCTTTATAAAATTTAGGCCCATTGCGGGTTTGTTTTCCGCGAGAACTACCTTTTATATATAACTCCATATTCTGCAAAATTATAAACATGAATCAACTAAAAACTTTATTTATTATATATATAGAATACAATATTACTTTATAGTCTCGAACTAGGCTTTTAAATTTCTCGTTACATTGGGGTCCCTGTGTAATTCGTTCCGAAATCAAGATTGATCTTGCTTGCAATGCCTTGCCAAAACATGACTTTTCCATTTCTAATAAGATCATGATACAGGCTGTTATTTTCTTTACGTTCTTTAATAAGCATATAAAGTTGATTTGTCGTCCGCATTGCATATATACAAAAATCAAAAAATCTTTAAAGGTGATAAAAAGGTTCTTTTATAATTAAAAAAAAAAGCGTTATTAGTAATATTTATTGTTCAATCATATAAATACCAATACAATAAGAAAACAATTAATTAGTGAACTTTTTTGTATGCAAAATTATTGATCAAATTTTAATCAATGGCTATGCATCAATTAATATCAATATAATTGCAAATAACAATACAAATAAAAGACAAATATCGATATATGGGATCTTTGCTATGAAAATGAACCTCCGAGGCTATGTTGATTTTGTGAATAAAATTTAAATTTACCAGTCATCTAGTTATCCGATTTGAATAAATTTTTTTTTAATTTGTAGATTCTATTGAGATTTACAAATTAAAAAAAAGTTTATTTAAATTGGATTACTAGATGGCTGGCAAATTTAATTTGTATTCACAAAATCAACATAGCCTCGGAGGGTCATTTTCATAGCAAAGATCCCATATGACCAATTAAGAACCATTATGTAAGAACCTCTTGATAAATATACGATTAATATTTTTAAGAATTCTATCTTGCATATCATCATTATTGTTTTAAGACCCGTGTTCTAAAAACAATAACATTGATGTGTTTGGAACTCATTTAGAAACATTTGTTGAATATTTTATGATATACCCGAGACATTCTCGAAACATACCCTGCATATTATATATATTTGCTATTATATACCCTGAAACATACCCAAAACATACCCAAAACATACCCAAAACATACCGAAACATACCCGAAATATACTAAAAACATATCCGAAACATACTCATGACATACCCGTAATTTACCTCGACTACGTAAAGACTGGGTTGAGCAGGCTTAGCTTGGGCTCATACTCAAAATATTTTCTAAAAAAAAAAAATGCTTAGTCATAGTTAAGATTAGGCTTATTTTTTTAAAAACTTCTCAAGCCCGGGCCCAAACACAATCCGAATTTATTACTTATATTTTTGTCTAGCCTCTGAATTCTTGTACATGTAGGTTGGAAATTTTATAGGTTTCAGCTTTAGATATTTTAAATACTAACTTCAAGCATGTAATAAACAGATAACTTGGAATTATATAAGCTTGTGAGTAGAGGTTAAAAAATAAAATCTGGATATTTATTTAATCGGATTAGTGATATTGAGATAACATTATCACTATACTTC